AATTAAATATTATAAATTTATTATTGTTAATTTATAATATATTTATAAAATAATAAATTATATATTTTTAATTAGACATATACTTCTGAAAGTGAGGAGTTATATGTAATTCAACGTATGGGCAAAATTGTAATTTGATTTTCTTTTTCCACGTACCGCGAAGTTGGATTCCTGCTCTGGGCACTCCCGCAGTCGCCGTGGATGAATTTGCCACTCCTCCGTCAACCCATTTCTCCGTCGTGTAACTGAAATTCTGTTTTATTTATTTAAAATAAAATTAAAAAAGAACCGAGATTCTGTTTTTATTTATTTATTTATTTATTTTTTTCGGTTTCTCAGTGGCAAGCTCTGGTTCTCTTTTAATATACTCCTCTAAAACTTCTAATCCATTTTAGATAGACTGAAAAACCAAATTCAATGGAGGTTGGAAATTCAGAGGAGGGAAACCTGAGCAGCCATAACCATGATGAGGACTCAGTCACCATTCCTCTGCTCTCTTCGCTGCGCTCCACCCCAAATTCCACCTCTCAGGTCGCCATCGTCGGAGCCAACGTCTGTCCCATCGAGAGCCTTGATTACGAGTAAGTATTCTCTCACTCTCCTGCAATTTTCATGGCACGCAGTAAACTGAGCTCGTTAATTTGGACTAGCTTCGTTTCGGTTGTTGAGATTTGACTCTTTGCGTTATTTGTGTGTCTTTGCGGGAGAGTAGGATTGCTGAGAACGATTTCTTCAAGCAGGATTGGAGGACTCGGGGAAAGTGCCAGATATTCCAGTACATCTTCATGAAGTGGTTGCTTTGTTTTTTGATTGGCTCGGTGATGGGTCTCATCGGGTTCACCATCAATCTCGCCGTCGAGAATCTCGCTGGTGTTAAGTTCGTCTTCACCTCTAACATGATGTTGGCCGGAAGGTACTTCGCTCTGACTTTCTTTGTTTTTTTTATTCTTGGAATTTATCTTTGCTTCTCCTTCTATTCGTGAAAGTTTAACATCATTAATTCACTGGAATTTGAGAAGTATACATATGGATATGAATGGGTTTAATTATCTATGTCCTTTTGATTCGCAGGTATCGGATTGCTTTCCTATTCTTTTCTGTTTCCAATTTGGTTCTGACTTTGTTCGCGTCCACAATTACGGCGTTCATTTCACCGGCGGCTACTGGTTCTGGTATCCCGGAAGTGAAGGCTTACTTGAATGGTGTTGATGCACCCGGAGTATTTTCATTCCGAACTCTGGTCGTCAAGGTGAGGGTCTTTCTTTTTTTTTTTCTCCCTAGAGAAGTTCTGCAGTTGTTTTAGTCGCTGAAGATCTTGGATTATGCCTCTTTTTTTAAACAATCCTTACCGAAGGAAGCTAATAACATTTGTTGTTGGGGATATGTTTGAAATGACGGTGTAAAAATCCAAAACTAAAAAGAAAATGATTTATCATCTAAATGCGGAAGCGAACAGTAAAATTAAGGTTTACATTTCTTATGTACTAAATTGAAATGATCAATGGGGTTACAAAAATGTTTTTTCTATATTGGTTCAATAAAAAAAACAAACGATAATTAAAAATAAATAAATAGATATTTTAAGAGATTATTCTCTACTAGCACTTGAAGAGAGTCCGGGAGGTGAACTGCTCACAACCATCTAACTGATCGGGATCTGAATCTTGATATTTTTAATTTGAAATGGTTAATAAAATAGTGAGTTATATTATTTTAATATGAATGTCATACTAATCACTGATAGAGAAAATCGAAGGTTGGTAAAATTATAAAATAACTAATAGATTCCATAAATTTAAGTAAATACATCTAATTTTAAAATGTTTTCTTCCATATTTACCGTTACAGATTTTCCCAAATTAACTTATGAAGACAAGTAAACAAATGACATTTTAATTTTATGTATAAGATTAGTAATCTTCTTTTTTCCCTACTTACTGGGATCTCTGAGGGTTCATAGAGATATCCCCTTACTCATGAACGTAGTATCTAAATTTGACAATTAATCCGGCTGTTCTCATACCCCGTTCGGTAATGGGCGTCAAAAATACCATCGCCTCGATATCTCGTCTGGTATGAAGGTGAACTATATTTCCCAAACTCTTCCAGTATGAAACTTTTCAGTCTCATCCGACTGAGGTAATGTTCATGGTAGGGTTCCCTATATACCGGGTCCGTCCACCTTTTTCCAGGGTACCCAGTAAACTTTTATATATATAGATTCTCATCAACCAAACAACCACCAATCGCATACCAACATCTCATTACGCATTTACAAATTTATTTAAAAGTCATCTAAGCAAGCAATATAGTTTAACATAACCAAATAACCAAATAAACAGTACAGGAGAAATCAAAATAAACTAAATAACCAAGAACACAATTCAAACTAGCAATTTAATGCACACAAAAAGATAGTAAACATTTTAAACAATACAGGAAAAAAATGAGTAGCTAAACTAGAGCAATCGTACACTGACCGATTCTGTCTTCACTAGTGACCTATAATTATTGTTAGGGTTTTTCTGATTTTCACAAAACACGAGATTATTAATTATTACGTCTCAATTTACTCTAATAGAGAATAGAGTGAGGTATCGTTATTCGGATCGATATTTTGAAACGTCGTACTACTCACTACGCCTCCTAACAGGGTTCAGGTTTCCAGAATTTTTCCTACGGAAATCAAAATACTCGTCA